GGGGGGAGGAGAGGAGGGGGCGAGGAGGGGTTGAGGGGTGAGGGGTGAGGGGTGAGGGGTGAGGGGGTGATGGGGCCGGATAAGTTTGGAAAACCTGGGACGTTCGTTGTATTTCTCTTTAAGAGGGGGGGGGGTTTTGTGGGGGGGGGGGGTTTTTTTTTTTTTTTTGGAGCTAAGAGTTAATAGTCAGTGCACTGACTATTAGAGTTATTCTGCTTTCTGAATATAGTTTCTTAACTTTTGAAAGATGGTTAGGTTAGTTTAAGTTAGTACGTAGGTTAATAGGTGCAACCTTTTTTCCAAGGTCGGCTAGGTACCTATCATATGGCGTTAGGTCAATCGAGGAGCATGAAAGAAATCCTCGAAATGAGAACGTGCAAAATTGAAACCTCGACAAGTAGTTTCGTTGTGGAATCGATGTTGCGATTTATTTGCGATTGCGCTTGGTAACGTTCTCTGACGTTTGATTTCGAGGGTCGTTCGTCTTCCTCTTATCTTAATACGGACGGAATGGGTACAGTAGAGAAGTATCCTTGGATACAATATATTTCCCCCATCCCCCTCCGCTATTTTACAAGTCAGGATTTTTTTTTTTTTTTAAAAAAAAACAAGTCTTTAAACGTTAATAATTACTCTGCAGTTTTTTTTTTTTTCTTTTCTTCTTTTTTTTTCGATGGAGACTTGAGATTGAAATTTATATGCCAACTGCTCTTTTTGCAGATTTCTTCTCCTAGTTTTTCGAGAGGGGTTTCGGGGTTTACGAGGTTTTGTCTTGGGGGTTTAAATGTCTAATGCTTTTTTATGAAAAAAAAAAATACTACTAGTTCAGTCAACTAGAAGCCGAAAACAGCTTTGAAACCGAGACTTGGGAGAGGTACTAAACGCGCGTCCTTAGCCGAGAGAGAAATTGATGTATAAAAGAGAGCGCGGCGAGGATTTCTCGTATTGAGGGAAACAAAAGAGGGGAGGTACAGTTCATGACGATTTGAGGATGATTCTGATTTGTGCTTGCTTGGGTTGCTTTAGTATTGTGTTATGTTATGTTATGTATAGTTAGATCTTGTATGGGTTTTGGATAGGTAGCTGGGATTTCATAAGAGAGAGGGCTGCATGTGATTGGGTTTGTATAGAGCAGGCTTGCTTGTTCTGTTAATACGATTGATCTGTTGTTATCGTGTATGTTTGTGTTGTCGGTACATATTGTGCTGCCAGATATTATTGATAGCTTTTTTTTTTTTTTTTAAAAAAAAAGACGGATGAGTTGAGTTTTAGTTCATATCAGCTCTCATAATTTCCTGCTTGAGCTGATTGTGATTTTACCTTACGTGGCTGAGGGATTGAGGCCGATTTTATTTGTAGAGCTTCCAGTTCTTCCAGGCCTTCAGCTCCTCCAGTTCTTCCATTGTTGGGTATTGCATTGACTGATACTGCTCTTTATAGGTACCTGGCTTATAATTTGAACTCGGTCATTTATAGTGATTGCAATAGGTGACTTCTAGGTAATTGGCGTGCATAGTACTGCGTGAATTTGCTTGCATGACTGTCGTAGCATACAGTAGGTAGTACTAGGCAACTGCTGTTGGCCACTTAAGCGAGAAAATCAAAAGCAACTTTAAACATTCAACCACCACTTCTCAATTGCGTAATAATCACAAATCCAAATCCTATAAAAATAATACCATTCGCATTCCTAGATCTCCTTCATTCTTATTATTCTTTGGCGTAATTATTCGAATGCGCATGGACCTTAATATTTGGTATGCCAGCCTTTAGCCGCGATACAAGCTTTAATCTTATCCGGCATACTCTCATACAAACATCGAACAACGACTGATCTAACGTATCCCACGCAGCTTGTAATCAACTCTCCATCTTTTGCCTTGCGGTCTGATTTGTTGATTGCAACGTCGGGGAACATTTGGTGAAGGGGTTTTGTTTTTTTTAGTTTTTTTTTTATATATAAGCCACTTAACGTGCTCGATCGGATTGAGGTCGGGGGAATAAGGTGGCCAGTAAGACGGCTTAAACGGGTGACTCGCTTCACTCATTATAAATTCGTCATCTTATTTCCTTCGTTGCTACTATCAGTGCTGAGGTCATGCGATTCCAATTTCTTAAAAGATACATTATTTGCGTAATAATAGAAGTTGGCAATCTTGGGGCTGTTTAATTCGTAGCGGTCTTTTCTTTATGAGAGATGTATGTATCTCCGGAGTCCATCTTAACGTATGCAATCATCTGGTCCTCAAAGTGATGGTCCAATATTCAGCTTGGAAAATTACCAAGATATCAGTCTCCTCTCCAAGCTTCAGCCCTAAGCATTCCATTAGCTTAGGCAGACCTCAAAGATTGTGAGTTTGTGTCTTCAGTTCTGTAAAAAACCAGTCTGGCCGATCAGAATTGTGAATACAAGAGGAGATAACTGTCTTTACTGTTCAGGTTATCAGTGAAGGTGAAGATGAACTTTTTATTGCAATGTCGGTCTATTTAATCTCCATTTCAAAGGTAAGTCTAGATCAACAATCCCATCAATCGAAAACGTCGTCCGATATGTCTCCAAAAAAGATCCCGCTTGCGGGAGCAGCAGCAGGAATTTATTGAAGCCACGAAGTCTCTCTCTCTCCTGCTCGAAGTACTCCGCGTATCCAAACAGATCAAATTGTGCGCATCGTAAAGCTGTGCTACCGGTGCCTAGGAAAATAGATTTTGAGCCTCGAAGACAACGAGCGCGTACGAAATGGCTCGGCTCCTCTTCTCTGTGAGATGAAGTTTTGGATTTGAAAGACTATTCCTCGGCAGCGTTTTATTGCTGCCGGTTGATTTATCGCTATCGATTCCTTTGTTTTCAAATTCTATTATGGCATTATAATCCTCTTACGCTATGAAAAAAAGATGTATTTGATATCCTATACAGCAAGTGAAGCTAACTCACATAATTCAAAAAATCAACGCAATCGCATCTCCAACAGTAGCTCCGAATAGGATGGAAGATTGAGTATACACTCTTCCGTGTCGTAACAAACCAAAAAGGATCTCGCGTTCCTATTTACGCTTCTTAAGTAAGGAGTGAAGAGGACGTAATGGTAGGCGAAGAAACTACAGGTAGCGGGTTTATATGAGAAAGCCTACTTGCTAGAATCTATTTGACACTTTTGCTGATTGCGAAAAACTTTCGCTCTGACGAAGACTTCTAGTCATAGCTTGCTCTCTTCGTAACGGGGTCGAAGACGTGTTGGGCGATCGATGAACTCTCCAAGTTGAGTCAGAGGGAAGAGCACTACCACATAAAGTGACCGCTCTCCAATTCTTTTTAAAAAAAAATTGGGGTTTCTGGAATCCTCTATGACCTGATACATATATATATCACCTTCCGACTAGACATCTGCGAGCCTCCCTCCTTAAACAATCCCACCCCAAAATCCTGTCCCCTCAAAGAGAGCAATAGAGAAGACAAGGGTTGGAATACCTACATGGAAAGCCTTTCATACATTTAGAATCGCCCTCAGATACAAACCCGTCCGTCGAAGCCCTTTGCCGTAAAAGCGAGAGGGAAAAAAAAAAAAAAAAAAAAAAAAAAAAAAAAAAAACACAGGATTACAAGTCGCCAAGAGGATCGCAGACGTATAGGAAGAAACAAAGAAAAATCTTCGCGTACTCGAAAAGATCCGAAATCGTAGATCCCTTCTCACATCTCACAACCTTTTTTGCCTTTACCTCACCCTCATGATGCAGATCCGACTTCCCCCCGGTCGATCTCTAGGACGAACAGCCTGCAGATGCGTGGGCCGCGCACTCCCTTGCTACGCTACATATACTGATCAGTTTTGTGCACAGGTTTGAGATCCAAATCCACCAGGTTGGAGTCCGGATCGGAGTCAGCAATGTGTAATTTCTGGATTGCGGCAGCGGTGCCTGCTCAGAATGCGGTTCTTTTTTTTTTTTTTGGTCTTCCTCTAATGGCTGGCTTTTGTGACATGCAAGTTCGGGCTGGGGACGATACGGCGAGTAGATTTCAAGAGAAGAGAGGTATCACTGGGGCATGGAGTCCCTCCCGATTTACTACGTAGATTGTCCAATGCTTGATAAAGAAAAGAGGCTTTGCGGAAGCGAATAGCAGCAGTGCATAGGTAGCTTTAGCCGAGAGTGCCATACCATAGGCAAGAAAAGATAAAATTTCAGGCCTTACAAATTCTTATCATTAGACTTTTCGATCTTGGCTTTTTCGTTCGTTTCGTACCCATACCATCTAACGTTACCCCCGAGACTTTTCAAAACCCCCATACCCGGGTATCCATCTCGCTTCAAAAGTGCCCCAAGAAAACTCCTCCGATCCTACCCTCCCTAAAGCCTTGCAAGACGACTGTACCCACGACACACAAGAACGAAGTATAACCTACCTATCCTCCCGTGACCTATTCCGATTTCCTGACAAGCCACAAAAACTTTACCCACCCGATATACGCAAACCCCGTGTAGGTGACCGGGACATACCTCGCCCCCCTTTTAACCCACCACATACACACCTTCGCCGCCCAGCCCGGCCCAACAATCGCCCAGCCCATCTGGCTCCTGAAAGCCGCCGGTACGATGTGCCTGTACAGCAAATTCTCATCGTCGTAGTACTTCCGAGCATGCCTCGCAAAAGCGCGTTTCGAAGCTGTGTAGTCACGCATGACGACATTACCTGGAGGCGAGGGATGGACTTCAGCTTCGGAGCCGACGTACCAGACTTCCGGGAGAAGGAGGGAGTAGCCTGACCGCGGTGCGTAGTGGGATTTGAATAGCTCAACGAGGGAGACGGCTGATGTGCAGTTGGCTGTCATGGGATCCGTCTTCGACCCATGTGAGAGAATCAAGATGTCGGTGTTCTTGAGCGTCTCGATGGTCCGGGAATAGTCGTCGAAAGTCCAGTCTTTGCCGTACTTGAGTTCCTGGATGCAAGACGGGGACTCTTTTTGCAGTTCAAGTTTGAGAGCGTGGCCGAAAGCACCCGATGCACCGGTCATGGTGATTCTGCGCGTGCGGATGGAACATCCGGTTCCTAGCACCCAGTCAAAGACGCGGAAGCAGGAGGAGATGTATGATGAGGGGTCGACATGGTGCATAGCGTGGTATTGAGGGCCTACGACAAAGGCGTTGGGATCTTTGGGGACCATGTGGGGATAGGACTTGTGGTTCGAGTCGCGGCCCTGGAGGAGAGCAACCACTATCACTCGTCCCGTCTCGAAAAGCATGTTCAAGCCGAACAGCTCATCGGAGAGTAGACCTTGTCCCGTGAGACCGGCGTACTGAGCGATCAGGTAGCCTAGCCAGCTCCCGAAAAGTTGACATGAAAGCTCAAGAGGCATCTCGAGCACCATGTTCTGGACGAGGTATCGCTCGTTGAACTTTAATCGTCGGTTAAAGTAGAGGTGGTGGACTTGATGGAGGTAGCCGATTTGACGAAGGATCCAGAAACGTGATTTGGAGAATTGGTGGAGGGCGAAATGCGCGACGTCGAAGAAGAGGGAGCCCGCAAAGTAGATCCATAGACTTGAGATGATCGTAACCCACCAGGGAGAGCCTGTGGTGCCGACCAGAGCGTAAGAAAAAATGCTATTCATGGCGGAGACTCGTCCGAGGGTTTCTTTTCGACTTGATTTGCGTAATAGAACTATCCGTTGAGACCAGGCGAGTAAAATGGCTGTTGTCTTCCATCAATCTTGTTCTCATGTCTGAGTAAAGGCCAGTGATTCACAAAGGAAGCAAGGGAAACAAACAACTCTTAGCTGCAACTGATTGATTGGTACAACACTCCCTTCGCATCCGCCAAACTTCGACTGAGGATAATAGAAACTGATGATTGTGGATTTGGCAAAGCTCGAGTCGACCCAGCCAACATGAGAAACCCCTGGGTCTGGATACTTATTTGTTCCAAAATTATTATTTTTGGTTTGTTTGAAAGCCCAGGGACGATGGAATCATCTCGACCGACGTCCAGAAATTGCCAATATTTCTCAAGAGATCATGGGCAGCAGTCCCTGATGCCTGCGATCTGTGCACCCTTAACTTGGGAAGGTGTAGCCGCCGTGTTATACTGCATGAGGGAAGAGAGCAGCAGCTGAAGCGTCAAGTCATCCCTCGCTATGAGACGCCCTCAAATCAATCCAACTCGCAGACTCCGACGCGGGCGGAGACACGAAAGTAGGTAATCTACTCAGCAATGCCAGAGCGGTTTGGAATCAAGAAATCAACAAACAGGATCAGGCACGAAGAAGAGTTCGAGAAGGAGAAGAGAGCTAACGAATAGAAGAAGTGGCCAGAAGATTGGCTTACTCACCTCGCACTGCATCCACTGTCGAGTAGCGCGAGGCTATCGCGGATCGGATACAGCCGGTACGGGGTACGGGGTCCGGTACCGATGGGTGAATGAATCGTGAAGAACAAACAAACACTGGGATCGTTGCGGGTTGCCGTGTTCAGAGAACAAACGCTCCTCCATGAAATCAAGAGCGGATAGCCCTCTCTTCCGCCCATCCATGGTCGCGATCTGAAGTGTGGATGTGTGGATGTGTGGTTGAGACTGACAAAGAGAAGAAGAAAATAATCCAAAGGTCAAAGTGGCGTGTAGTAAATCGTAAATCGTAAATCGTAAATCCAGGAGCATGAAATCCTCGAAATAAAAACGTGACATCGAAACCATGCCTGTGGTTTTGCCGTGTTACCGATATTGCTTGCTGGAAAAGATTCCGCTTGCCAATTTTCTCAACTTGCGGTTTCGACGGTCCATTCACTCGTTAATGCCGAGGGTCGCCCGTCCCACCTCTTGTTCCTTCAGAGCAAGATTTGACGAGAGGACGAGAAGTCCGAAGGTCGCAGATTAATAGAAATTGGTTACTGGAATTACTGCAACTACTTATACGAATCGACGATTGTTGCAGAAAGCGAAAACGGCCTGGCCACTACTCCAGTCGAGAGAGAGAGAGAGTTGCCAAACGTGCTTTAAGCATAAAAGAAACAAGATGTTGGATTTGATCTCTACTGTAAACAAATTATAATAGCCGGTATATCCAAGCCCCTTTCATTCCCATCCCAATAAACCGCAACGCAACGGGTCCATCAATACAAGACTAGCAACAATAGAGAGACGAACTTGCCCTCACACCTCCTCTCAAACCTCCTCGTACACCCACATTCCCTTCTCTCCAGACACAGCTCACCTCCCAAGTTCCAATAATCAAAGGGACGTGTAAGTGAAGATATCAGGTATCCTTCTTTTTTCCCACACAGAGGTGATTGACGTGCAACCAACATGGATGGATTGGACGTAGAATGTATTTTCAGATTCACATAGCGAAGTAGAGCAGAGCACACAGTGCCTGTTAAATCCGCTCTATAACCTGTCTCTAACACGCCAGGATTCCGTAATGTGCTTGCGAATGCTCCCCATACCCCGGCTCCAATCCGCAAGCTGGAGCGTGATCTATTTACAAAAAGGACAATGGTATTAGGAACGCCGATGCTATGCTAGAAGCAAGAAAAATTATGTCCCAATAAACAGTGGCACCTAGCAGAGTTTACTTCTGAAATGCATGGCCACCATTGCGAAAATCAACTCCCCACCCCACGCCGCTCAAACACCTACCAAGGCCATCCAGCTGGTGTATCATATCATAACGCCGACGATCCGATGATCTGCAAATCCGAAGGATCTCGAATCATGGGCCCACGACGCTCTAACGGCTTGAAGGGAGAGCGGCGCCGCCCCTGGCGTGGATTACCGTCATCCCGCTTTTGCTTTTTGACGGTGGCTGGAGATAGCTGCAGCGCTCTTCGATCCTCGCTTCGATCCTCGCTTCGATCCTCGCGTCCTCGTTTGGCGGTGGTTGGAGTTTGAGAGTAAGCGACAGGAGGCGATGACGATTCCAGTAGAGAGGCATCCGGCGGAGGTCGCTTGGAGAAATGCCAGTCGACATCATCGCCCTCCTGAGTGGCGGAAGCATGTCCACCCACACCTGCTTGAATTTTCGGCGTTGTAGAAACGAGTTGTAATTCATCGTCTTCAGCTACACTAACGTTGTGCTCTTGAATCTCATGCAGTTCTCCACCAATGCTCTCCTCGTGTTCCTCTGAAAGATGCGAAGGAGATTCAAGACGCCCTGTAGCCATAGCATTGTGCCGAGAACGTTTGAGTCGATCAGTAAATGAATGTTCCTGTTCTGACGTAGGAGAAGAGAAACTTTTATGCTTGCCCTTCTTCCACTCGTTTTCGCCTATTTCATGAGGGCTACTTAAAGGAGGAGGATGATGCAGAACTCGATATTCAGGCACATCTTCTTGAGAGTCTGGAATCTCTTCTTTCTCTCGCGAACGCTTGGCAGATTGAGATTGCTTGCGTTGCCCTAGCCTGTCACTGTGCATCTGGATTGTGGTTCTTTTCGCAGGCATAAGTGCCTCATTGGCATCGACGTCTTGCGTGGAGTCGTCCAGAATCTCGTAGGGAGCGCCTTCCGCCCCTAGAATAATAGCTGAATCTTTATCGAGCCCACCAAATAATGCCCGAGCTGCCTTTGAGAGAACTCTTGTTAACAGGTTGGGTTCACCACTTGTAGTCTTTTGAGATTTGCCACGCACCTCTTCTGTGGGTGCTTCTAGAGCGTCCAGCTTTGCCAACCCAGACGGGTCTAGCAATTCTGAATCGCCATTTTCGGGGGAAACGGCCAACTTAGACCGCTGACGCTTTTCGGAGTTCTCCAGTGTCTGAACAGGCTTAGCAACAAATCTCCCCGGCGATATTTGAGCTTCATCCGGCACAGGAGAAGTTCCATTACTCTTTGACGCCTCCCGAGACGCAGTATTGGACGTGAGCGCAGAGGCGTCTTTCTCCGGGGTCTTTGAGGCTTTCTTGCTTTTGGCCTTTGCCTTTCTCTCAGCTTCGGCCTCCGCTTGCTTTCTCTGAAGGTCGAACAAGAGCTCTCTAATATCATTGCGCATTTTTGATGCTGGTGGCCACTCCTGATCGTCATCGATAGTGACATAGTCCCTCAGACTCCCTTGCAAGATGCCCTCAATGAACTGGTCTGGCTTCTGCAGGAACTGTTCAATGTAGGTGAGCAGGAACAGGCCACAATCGCAATGGTTATCCTGTTGTGGTATGCCTTTAGCAGTCATACCAAGGTTGCCCGGATCTTTGATTTCGATGTTCTTTTTGTCCTTGATTTCTTGTATCAAATACTTCTTCAAATTGGAACAAGTCGGAGAGTGCGCTATGCCAAGAGAATCGAGTGTGATGATCCGTGGTTCTGTAGGGTCGTATTTGCGAATAGGTGCTGTCGATCTGCGCCTGACCTGCTTCGTCTGAGATTGATCTGTCTCGATCAAATCAGGTGGCAGATCTGACACCACATTCGCTGGCGGCGCGTTCGTAGGGTCCGGCATTACATCTGAAGTAATGTTTGCTGGCGGCGCGTCGTCTATTTCCAATCCAGTCCCTTCAACAGCACCTGGGGCGTCGTTGATGAGGTTTCTGTCATGCTCGCCTCCACGAACGGGCGATTTCTTCCCATAATTCTCCAAGCTCAAATCCATCGTGTTTGTATCCACGGCTATTGAGGAGTCACTTGCTGGTAATTTCCCAGGCAAATACTGAGGTGAGGGTAGACGAGAAGTCGATCCATCTTGTGATCTAGGCTCCTTTGACTCATCTTCTGAAGTCTTGTTCTGTATTGGTGGGCTCGGTGCCTCCTTGGAGCACTCCTCGAGAAGTTTTGGTGCATTGCAGATGATCGCGACATACCAATGAACGGTCTCATTGACTGGGATAACGATGTAATCATACTGGAGTAAGTCTACCTTTGATGTCCAGCGAGCAACAGCTTCGTGGTTGATACCACCTGGCTTGCCTCTAGCTGACTTGGTCAACCTCTCGTAGAAAAACGTGTTGTGGAAGTAAATACGTTTCGCCAAGTCTGGTCGCTCCTGACCGAGTCGATGTTCTAGCCAGCGAAGGTAGAACACGATCAGGTTGTCGTTCAGAAATTCTCCTTCATCCAGTCGCTCGATATCTTGTCGATCCACTGAAGCTTTATTCTTCCCTTCGGAAGGATAGATGACCGAATTACCATTCGGCCAGTATTTCTTTTCCCATCCTTTGTTCTGCACTGTCCAACGCGGGGGATCTGGTGTTGGTGATCGCTGCAACCGTGGCTGACGGGGGGCAGGTGCTGATGGTGCTCCGTGACTTGAAAACTCCCGAGAGCGAGTTTTACGGGCAAAGGATTCCTTGGGTGTGGCGCGACTCGAATCACCGTAAAAAGTCAGGGCACTGAGCTCGTCATTTTTGCGTACATGCGGCCCTTTCAAAAGGTCTGGACTATCGGGGCATCCACCCATTTTCTTGGCGAGACCAGCAGACACCCGAGTTCCTCTAACAGGCTTGCCCTCTTGCTGATATGCGTCATCGTGCTTTTCTGAGATCCGAGGTCCTCTATCCCATAGTCCATTTGCCTTTTGCCTTCTCTGAGAATTGGCTTTGGCTAACCGTAGGTCATCCGGCTCTGCAGATAGCAGAGCTTGCCGGCTTTTACGCTGATGCAGTTTCGAAGGCACATGCTTAAAGGCATTGTCCAGGTATTCCCTACAAATATCAAGTCAGTAAAGTTAATTCTGGTTAGATGCGAAACACTGACTCCATTCTTGTTATTGCGCGAATGTTAGGGTGGATGGATTTGAGCTCTTCGTAGAGCTGTTGACACAGATCCGAACTTCCGAATTCGATGTACAATTTGGGAGCACCATCCTGGTCTCTGGGCTTGTGAATCACCATCTTCGAGCTCGTGCGGCAGCTTTCAATTCTTTCCACCTTGTTGCTTGAAAACTCAATTCTCGGGGTGTCTTCTGCCGCAAAGGCAAGTAAGCCACTATTCTTATCGTGCTTTAGGACCCCAGATCGGGTCAATTCTTTGAGCAGCCAGTCATTAGACTCTGAGAAGAATTGAGATACCTTGTACAATTCTTCTCCGAGTACATTCTTTGCCTTCGTTTTCGATGAGCCATACTTAGTCGGGGCAATATCCGCACTTTTGCCTGTTTCGTCTTCGCTCGACTCGTCCACAGTGAAAGACTGCTTCCGGCTGTTCTCTTCATTAGAATTGGCCGGCGACTGCTTCTGGATCTTGTGAGATTTCAAGAGTTCATGGGCTGGGTGCAAGTCTGGATCAACAAGTTCGTCTATTTCCGAGTCATGGTCACTCTTATTGATCTGCTGTTTCGCTGCGCGAGAAGCAATCGGTACGGCAGAGCTACTAACAGAATGGAGACTTGATACGCCCATGCCTCGTGGTCCAGGATCGGCAAAGTGCCAAGACGTTTCTCCAGTGCTTGTCCTGGAAGGTCCTGCTTTGAAGTTTTCTTGCGCTTGTCTGAGACGGGTGTTACCTGAGAATTTTGGCTTCAATGTAAATTCATGGCTGCTCGCATCCTGAAATTTGGGGCCGGTGTCTCTGTTCGACATGGGTCCCGCCTTCTTGGATGTTGAAACAGTCTCCGTTTCTTCGTCGAAAATAGGATCGTCGGCGTTATCTTGGTGACGCTCAATAAATGAGTTGCTGAATCGATGAGGGCCGCTGATGACCGTCGGGGGCTTATCCAAAGAGCCTGTAAGGGCGGAAAAAGGCTCCTCCGTATTTTGTCGACTGGCGGCTGAAGGGTACCTCTCGGTAGAGCCGTTGGCCCGTTTCTTCCGGTCTTTTCGTCCTCTTGGTACTTTCATGAAACTCTCTACCTTTTGTTGCTCTGGTACACGTCTTTCCCCGAGACTAAAGGTTCTTCCAGAGCCATTGCGTTCGCGACTGTGTCCCGATCTCTGTGAAGATGTCGCTCTGTGGCTTGAAGGTTGTGGTGTCTCTTCAATGTCGATAGCTGTGCCATGGGTCGTACCTTCGACTCGCTGCCTCTTACTTGGTGGCTGTCTGGAGGCATCGTGTTCGGGGCCTGAGGTCAGGTCGAAAGTTTTCGGTTTCAGTGATTTGTTTGCGGGAATCGTGGTCTTGTTTGCCAGTCTATTTATCGGCTGGACACCGCCGCCTAGGTTTCGGGGCTTCTCAACATTAGCACAAGGTCCCATCGATTCCCAGTAATAATATACCATCTCCTCGACTTCTTCAACCTCCTTTGCGGATTTTGGAGCAGACGCAATGGGTCTGGGCATAGACATCAGCTGTATTCAATTTTCCTGCCCTTACAAATCGTCCAACATACCCATAATCTGGCGCACAGGTTGAAGTTCCAAAATAGCGAATTTGCATGCGTCGACGCCTGAAGCATGGCATTAGCAAGGTGAAAGGTCCCACGTTACGTTCTAGGGGTCATACCACTCTGACTGGCTCTCTAGCGCGTCGTCGCTCTTGGTGGCGGCCTTGTCGTCGTGTGCCTTGTCGTCGTGTGCCTTGTCGTCGTGGGCCTCGGGAGAAGACGCGTTGATTTCTTCCCTGCTAGAAGTCAGAACAGGCTGCAGAAGCATTGAGAGAGATGCTTGCAGACATACTTTGTCAGATCAACTGATCCGGCAGTATTTCTCTGCTTCTCTGCCGATTGCTTCTGTGCCGATCTGAGATCTCGGGGTGGTGGGGTGACTCTCCTCACCGATATCACAGGAAACTGGGTCGAGGATATTCATGTTAGTGAAATGTGAAGCTTTAGGGTTTGCATGTGGGGCGTAGCCGATCAGTGAATCACAGCCTCGCCGAACTCCATCGTCCTAATCAAAGAGGAAACCTACAAATTGTTCAGCCACAACCTCCTTAACCTTCTTCCCCTCGTCGTCGACTGTACCCAAGGTATCTGTATCGTAGGCTACGGGTCCTGTGCTCTCAGCAAACCTGGCCTGGGACTGAGAGCTGTTGCGCGTTTGTCTCTTTGTCCCAGAGCTTCTCTCGGACATCTCCCCGACCTCATCTGCAGCGCTGGGCCCCTGGTTCTGGTCTTCTCCTTTGTATTTCAGGTCTCCTTCTCTTGCGCATGCTTCGATGTCGATCTCCTTGCTGAGGGCTCTGCGGGAATGGCTCGATTCGAGGAGATACTCTCTTGTGGTAATTTGTTGGTGGTGGTGATGAGGTTGTGAAATGGCGGGGAGGTCGTCATCGGGTTTTCGCTCGTGATTGGTTCCTGCATCGAGCCTCGTGCCCAGGCCTAGATGTACCGGTAGATCTTCCACGGACTTGTGGCCTTGGACATTCAACATTGCAGCGATAGATTTAGCGGCCTCGGCCTCTGATTTGGACTCGGGTCGTGGTATATTTGTGACTGTTTCTAGTTTCCGGCCACCATTCGACTGGGCTCCTGGTGAAGAAGACACTTGAGGAGGCATATTGATGTTGGGGTCCTGGGTGCCATCTTCTCTGTTGCGGTCTGATAGGAAGGGTTGAAGATTGCGGATAACTTGATCGATGAGAGATACCTTGCTTTCCGCCATCTGAGAAACGAGGGGGAACTGTGGTCTCCGGAGCTACTCGGGAGATGGTTTGGCAAAATCTCCGACTTATTGTTGAGAGTTAGAGAGGTTGAAAGTGTCGAGCTGAGCAGGTCGTCTTGGTTGTAGAGGGTCGAAAGAGCTGCAGTTATAAAAGACACGCCCTACTTTCAGGCCCGATATCTGAAAATTGGTTATCAAGGGTGATGGATGACCAGGTCGAGTGAACGGGTGGTCCAAGAGTATGGTGGTATGAGGCAGCGAGATCGAAATGATTCCGCAAAGCAGATCGTATTTCTTGTGGAGGGACGAAAGAGCTGCAGTCCGCTCCAAAAGATAGCATGGGGATGACCTCGATACACTCGACTTGTTCTTCTTGGACAAGATGGGTTCGTTCGACTTCGCTTTCAACTTTCTGTTGCAGGTCGAGACGAAGACTTGATGTTGAGGAAAGAGACTTGACGTGCCCATATGAGAATTCTGCACAGGTGGGAGAGAACCAGATTCACTGCATAAACAGATGGAATTGGCAACCAAGAAGAGTACCAGAGGCGAACTTTGGTCGTAGAAAGCTCTCACTTGAGAAGAAGTTGACTTTCGTGACACGCAAAGAGTTCGACGCCGGGCCTGACCTGTCGTTGACTTGCTGGATGAGTCTGGCTAATTGCTTCGCTCCTTACTGCCATTGGGCCCATTTCAACATCAACTCTCTCTATGGAATGTTTGCTATGAAGCGGGCAAAGAGCCGTTGTGTGAATGCCTCCAGGTAGATCTAGTAGCGAATATCATCGTCATCTAGAGCAAAGGGTATATCAAAAAACCTAGTGGATAACACTGCCTGTAATTGACGGCTTCAAACTGTCAGGTCTCTCCGTTGAAGCCCCATAACCTAGGTCTCGGCAGCAAGCAGGAAAGATTTCAAAGGAGATGGATGCATTGCAGTTTTTGATACAGCTGTACACATAAGAGAATCCGCAAAGCAGACCCTCCCATTATCACCAACCACTTCTTCTGCTTCTTCATCTACTTCTTCTAGACTCCCCAGCGACTATCCATCTACAGAAGCACGTCCTGTCCTCCGCACCTCATCGCCTACTTTGCCTCGGGGTAGAGCTCCTCCTTCAGTACAACGCCGAGCTCTTCCCGGAGTGGCTTGAGCTCCTCGAGGTATTGATCGTATTGGCCCTTATTCTCAACCTTCGCCTTGATTCCTATGAAGACAACTTTGTTAGCCGGTGTCCATAACCAACCTCTAGAGCGCGTGCATGTATCCGTCGGAGATCACGGCAGTCGGCTACATACCCTCGAATATCCGCACAGCGGTCGGAAAGTCATTGACCCTCCTCGCAGCTTTCAACGCAGCCGTCAGAACCGAGGGCGAAGGAACGAGATCGTATGCGAAAGCGTTGTTCAAGTTGCGCTACTCATCGTACGACGATCAGCCATCCGGAATAACACAACCTTGGGAAGAGGGTCATGAGAAAAAGCTCACCTGAAGCTCGAAGACATCTTGGACCTGGTCGAACTCCTTTTCGTACCTATATACCAGCGCAGCGTCAGCAATTGTATATCGTGACTGGCGTGCATTAATGAGTTTCGGCTATGCAGGAATATGCTCAAATGAGCTCTCTTGGGTACCAAGGAAGGCCAATTGGGGCGACAAACCTCGCAGTGAATTCCTCGAAGCTCTCCTCGCCGTGGCTGGCATCGGAACGGAGCCTGCTACCGGTACTGAAGCTGCTGATGGAACCGGAGGTCGCGACCATGGCCGGGACGGCGTAGAGGGCTTTTGCACGGCGGGGGGTCAGGCTGCGCAGGCCATTAGCACGGAAGAAGGTCGAGGGTTGTGCGCGAGCAGCGACTCGGAGCATTGAAGTCGACGACATTAGGAAAGAGAGTGGTAGTGAAGCGTTTGGGGGAGTTTCACGAAGGGCTTTCAACAAATCATCCGGTTGTTGGTCGTCAGAATGACCACTAGATCCGGATACATTGATTGGTGGTGGATCGCTTATGTCAGCCTGGCGTCAGGTCACGGCCCCGAGCACCTGTAGCCGTAAATAGCAATTGAAGCTATTCCGATTCATCAGGTGATAGGGCTCATTGCTATCTTGCTGACATCGTGGTCGATACGAGTTCAAATTTCAGCCAGAGACTAACTGATACTGTACTTCTCAACTTCAAACCCCATCATCACACCTTCCCAAGTTCTACCTCGGAAGCACTGCTTCTCATCCGTTTGTGGCTCTGCTCTCTCTCTCTCTCTCTCTCTCTTTTCTTTTTTGTATCGTTCTCAAAATCTGCTCTTGTTCTACGACTCCATGGGTCATCTCTCGTGTTTTAAACATCGTCATCTATCAGAGTGCTAGTGTCAGATTCTGTTGGTAAATATTATACGATGCCGTAGCAAGTACCTGTTCATGTTTTACTAGGTCATAATCGATGGTTTTAGGGTGTCGGGGGCTGATTTCAGTCTAAGTCAATTTCTACTTGATTGCAGCAAAGGAGAAATCCTAGAGAAACAAGTGAAAACAGCGACTGGAAGACTTGGAGTTGGTCTGAGAAAAAGAGTCCAGAAAATCACATATTCGAGCAGCTAGCTTGAATGGAACAATGCAATAGTATGGGTGCTTGCTTGAATGATCCTTCAGCGCTCAAGGCCCCCAAGATTCGAATCCAGAAATCAACTCCGCCTCTGACATTGGTTCTTGGGCTTCGGTAAGTTTTCCGCGTACAGATGGATTAGTCGTCAAGCAGCATTCGAGACTAAGGACTCACAGTCGACAAGGAGCCCGGACTGCTGTTGGGAGAATGATCCGCCGCTTGCCATTGCAGCGAATAATTTGTTGAAGGATTAGGCTATCCCGCTGGTTCATATGCTCCAAGCACGCCTTGGTGAGCAACGAGAATTGTCCGAAAATATCAGGATGCTGAATCTCTTAGCCAGTAAGTCGACATCCTCATCCGGTATCCTCTAGATGGGAGTAAAGGTTGACTGGCGCTGGGAGTAGTACATCACTCACGATCTACGGCTTCGAAAGCACCTACCAGAATCGCTGGCTCAGTACCCCAGACCAGCTCCACACCATCAAACTACCCAGCGAGGCCCCTACACCATAATCCTGGAGTCTAACATCACTTCCCCACTTCACATACAAATGATAGCTCCTCCTTTCGCCGTCTATCATTTCACGCAAGCCCTCAGCAGCGTCCCAGCAAAGCGAAACGAGCGCAAGGGTTTTATTTAAAATTGTCGCCTATTGTCTACGCCATCAATAGCTACACCCAAGCGGTCGACGGTTTCCGGTGTGCTCCAAATAGCCGATGCAAATACCAGCTTTGGCGCCATGGCCCCCAATTCAGCACCAAGCCCTTCATTGCGCAGCTTTGCCCGCATGTCAGGCTTCCCTTCCTACGCAACACACCAAGATGCCCGACTTCGCGCTCCAGTGAAGAAGGCCGACAAGAAAAAGGCCAATCTTGAAATTGAGGATGCAGACTTTTGGCTGGTGGGAATCGTTGTCACCTCCATTAATGCTGTTAAAACGAGCGATTGCTGTCAACTGGCACTTCTTGGTCTGCTCCAAATCTCGATAATTTCAGCAAGCTCGAGTCGAATTTCATCATCATCGATCCATGAGGCAGAATAAATAAAATTAGGCCGAGCTCAGAGCCCAGGATCAAGCGCAGGACCATAAGACCACGAGATAAAATCACGTCGAAGGCTTCCTTGAGACTTCCATGCAGAAAGGCAGGGTTTCTGATGTGGTTAAATAAGAGCGCAGGTGGTGTTCTTATACTCCATCGAATCGGGGTCTTAAGTGAAACCCGGGGATACCTAAATCGAGCCGAACAGAATAAATGGCATTCACGCACTTCTGTCTTGCTGTACTATTCTCGAGACGCGCTGTCGATCGGTCACTTGAGCACACAGTCCAAATGAGTGCATGATCCCGTGCACTGAAGCGAGTTCGATCTTTTCACTCCTCGTCCTCTCTCTGCATTGCTGGATCATGATAGCCAGCAGTACACAATATTGCTACCAGGCAGTGAACCTCGACAGCGGTTTGGTATAGCTCACTCTACATTCGCCTGCACTGAAAGCGTGCTAGTAATATTCACCAGGGTACCGTGGAGGCATTAGATGGCTTTAAACAATACACTATCCAGGATATACAAGGTGAGCATCACTATAGAGTCACTGCCCGAAAGGTAGCCGAGGCTAGAGGAAATAGTAAATAGTCCAAAAGTGACAAACAGTACAAGGGACACCATCCATGTCACACAACAGCAAGAAATAGTTTCCCAGAGGAATGAACAACTAAAAACGGTACGAGCACGGCCAACTTTTGTGAGAAGAAGAAAAGGCAGACAGTCTGGTAAGATTTCCCTGCCAAAAGTGTCTGCGGATTAGCAGAGAAAAAATCGCGAGTAGCTGCAGCAAAGTTGAGAGCACCTATTCTCCAGGGAGGACTCCGCACGGTCAGCACTTGACTGCAAACTCTGAGTTCATTGCCGGCAAAATTGATGGATCTGAGATTCGGATTTTTTAAGATATCATGGACTCCAGACTAGGTATCTCCTCGTTCACATCGTACCGGTATTCTCATTCCCTTCCTTCGGTAGCTAGCGTAGAGCTCACGTGCTCCAATCCTCCAATCCAATTATGTGCCAGGGGAAAAAAATCGGCGACAATTTCAGACGGACCCCCTTTTTATTTCCCAACCACATAACGGCATCTCTCCGCTCAAACTCTCTTCATCCCCCCCCCCCCCTTTATCGGTGGTTCTCGTCGCATTTTCTCGTCGCTCCTTCCTCGAGACTCGATCCTCGGATCCCTTCTTCCCTCTTTCTGTGTTCATTGTCAGGTCCTACACCACTTTACTGTTGTGTAGCGCAACGTGTCTTCCCGAGCGCCGTTTTTAGTTCGCTTGTCGCGTTGAATAAAATTCTGTGTGAATTTTCTCCGACTCGACAAACCGACCATCAAGCCTCAACATCAACACATCCTCCTCCTCAATCCCCCTCTACACCCGGCCTTCTGCCTGCTGCAGACACACCCTCCGAGTTCTCTCCGATTTGACGCCCAAGATGTCTTCCGACACCCCCACCGATATCTTCAAGGCCCTGCCTCTGCCCAGCATCGAAAGACCCTTCGGCATACACCTATGGCCCATCTTCGACAAGGCCTTCAATGCCGTCGCAGGATTCCACCCGCAGGATTTCGACTTCCAGCCCCGAGTTACGCCCATGTCGACGTTGAAGGAGAGTGGTTTGGCCATTTTGATCTACTACGTGGTTATTTTTGGAGGGAGGGAGCTGATGCGCAACCGCCCGGCCTTCAAGCTGAACGCCCTCTTCATGATCCATAACTTCTACCTCACCAGCATCAGCGCCATCTTACTGGCTCTATTCGTTGAGCAATTGGTCCCGACTCTCTACAACCATGGCCTCTTCTACACCATCTGCGACCACAAGGGTGGATGGACCAACGAATTGGTCATTCTCTACTACGTATGTCTCGTCCCGCCCAGTCCGGCTGATACCGACTGTTGCTGACCATGCTGTAGCTCAACTATCTTACGAAGTACCTCGAGCTGATCGACACCGTGTTTTTGGTCCTGAAGAAGAAGCCATTGAGTATGGCGAACCCGTCGAGTTGGTGCGAAGTTTGTGCTGATACTATGTGAAGCTTTCCTCCACTGCTACCACCACGGCGCAACGGCCCTTCTTTGCTACACCCAATTGATTGGCTTGACCTCGGTATCATGGACTGTCATCTCCTTGAACCTGTTGGTGCACGTCGTAATGTACTGGTACTACTTCCAGAGCGCGCGTGGCATCAGGATCTGGTGGAAGGAGTGGATCACCCGTCTCCAGATCACCCAATTCGTCATTGCTCTCGGTAAGGCCGGATCTCAGCCGCATGCCGGCTTTCAGCTGCTAACATACGGTCACCAGGCTTCGTCTACTTCGCGTCTTACACCTACTTCACCTCCACCTACTTTCCATCGATGCCGAATGCGGGGAAGTGTGCCGGAGAGGAGTTTGCCGCCTTCTCAGGCATCGCAGTCATCAGCTCGTATCTGGTCCTCTTCATCTCCTTCTACCTGGCCACCTACAAGAAGGACGGACAGCGACCCACCGGCCGCAAAGCAGCGCGCTCCCTCAAAGACGCCGAGATCCCAGACGTATCTGCGCTCACCAACGGCAAGATCCACCCCCCTAGCAACGGCCACGCCAAGTCATCTGGCGCAAGCCCCAATGGGCGCACCACCCGATCGCGCAAGGCATAGGTCTCCCCCCAGACCAGACAAGACATCGGCTGCACCGATACGATGCTTAGACGAAGACGACTGCGGCGCTGCGGACCAGTCTGCGAATCGACTCCTTCTACTTCTCTGTATCATATGCTTGGAACGGCATAGAATATGCAAGGGGTAACGCCCTATTTACCTTGATAGAACTCTGTAATGTCAGTCCAGTAAGAGAGCATGGGGAGGCGCACGCATTCAATTATTGGGCTGGTGGAAAGGCGTTTTTTTTCCCGTCGTGTCTGGTGATCTTCTTCTTTCCTTTTGCGTCTTTGTGTGCACGACGCGTTCGAGATCTTTTTTTTGGTGGGTAGGAGGAAGCTTTGGCCTTTGGCTGGGCTTGTATGAACGGGCCAATGATCGTCGATGCCTGTTTTTCCTGTGCGCCTGCTACGTACAGGCGGAGTAATACGTACGTAGCATGTGTTGATAGAAGTCTAATAGACGGACGATTCCCCGCAAGGAAAGCCAAAAGTTGACCCGACACGACTGGGTATCGAGCATGGCGCACCGAGATGGAGAGGCGAGTCGAGAGGCGAGTCGCGAAGCTCCATCTGTATGCTGGGTGTCATACCCCGCCGCCCAGCCGGGCTCTGCAGTAGGTAGGTAGTACGTAGTATTTGCCCGATGATGCCATCAGCGTGACACACGACGACGATCAAGAAGTTCTAGAAGACGCTCTGCCCTGCCCTGCCCTGCTCTGCCCTGCCCTGCCCTCCCCTCCTCTCCCCTCCCCCTCCTCCTCCCAACCTGCGCAGCCAACTCATCTGCCCCGCTACCGGTACCCCACGCCTGCATCTTCTACGGTAGGGGAGGTAGGTAGGTACGGTACGTATGTATATACATACATACATACAGTACAAGATCCCATCAGTGACATCACAGGCACGCGCACATCTCCTCCTATACGTCTCCTCCTATACCCTATACGTCTGTTCTGTTCTGTTCTGTACTATACTGTACTGTACAAGAAGAAGAAGAAGA